CCCCCCCCAGCCAATCTCGCTGACCAGGGCGGGGGGGAGGAGGCCACGGCCAATTGCGAGACAACAGATTGCTGTGGCCTATCACTATGGCCACTTCCAGAAGTGGCTGTGGCTGTGGCTGTGGCCGTGGCTGTGGCTGCTTCTGGGAGCGCCACGGCACTCTACTCCCTGGCCAGCACTTGCAGGGGGGGACACCGGCTCTCCCGCCTGCCACCCCTGCCCATTGCCTAAGTGGTAAGCACAGCTGCTCAGGGGGTACACCAGCGCTCTCAGGGGGTGCCCTTCATTCCTTCCTTGGAAAAAGCTGTTTAAGAAGAGCTTGAACTAATGAGAGAGGCTTTTGATTTGTTGAAGGACTGATAAACACTGTGTTATTAGCCCCTCCTGCTGGCTCCCTTGCCTGTCAGGTTTGCAGGCAGTATAAAGAGCAGGGAGAGCAGTTGCAATGTATAGGGGGTCTGCTGGTGCACCCCCTGACAGCTAGCACTCCCTGCTTAGGTGATGGGCAGGGGGTGTACAGTCAGCGGGGGACCCCCCCGCAGTTGGCAAGATCAGCTGCTGGGGGGGCATGTGCCCCCCTGACTCAGGAGGCAGCAGTCACCCATGAGGGAGAGGGAGACTGAAAAGCTCAGTATCATCAACAGATGTATGTACTGCACACCCCCACACACCTTTGCCTCAGAGTGCTGGCCAGGGGCTGGGGGTTGGCAACACACCCGCCCCTTGAGCAACAAATGGGGAAAAGCCTGGGACTGTGCAGGTGGGGGAGGGGGTTTACATCCCTCCCTAATTAAAGCGACCTTCTGGGGCCTGGCCATGCCCCTGCCCCCCCCAGCTCAGCACTGAAGAAGGGAAGGAAGGGCTGCTCTAATGTCCCCCGACTTCTAGCCTGAGCCACTGCAGGCATGTGCTTGCATTTCTTCAGTCTAGAGGGACCGCCTGTGCAGTTGCAGACCAGTTCAACCTAAACAGGTTAAACTAATCTGCAAAGATTAAATCAATTCAGGCTCAGGCTTTTTGAATCTCTGTCCCTAACCTTCCATTTCCCACTCATGCTGCATTTCGTGAAAAGTGCAATTAACAATTGTATTTACCTGCCAAAGCAAACGAAAAAAAGTGCAACTATATTTTCTTGTAAGTCATCCACATTTGTGATATGAATTGTTTTAAAACAAGAAAGTTTTTCATAATCTCAATGAATAACTGGATTCACAGGGGATTAGGCTCTGATGAACATTTTAAAGTCACTATGGAGCTCAGACAATAAATTCCATGTTCCTGTTTCAGGTTCCTCCAGGTCAGAAATAAAAGTGAGATCTATCATTTGCTTGTGGAATTTGTCTCCCGTTCAAAAATGAGGAAGTTGTATTACTTGGCATATTTAAAGCACCATTTCCACTACAAACAGGGGAAATCAGTTCTGAACTGGCAGGGTGTTGAACTAATCCTAACAGGTCTTTTCATTTCTAATTTCTCTATCCAAGGTTATATTTCCTGCACTATACCAACAACATTCCATTTCACCATTTCAACTGTGGATTTATGATAATAGGACAAATCAACAAACTAAGCATTGTGAAGAAAGATTATGTACCACCGGAAGAACTGGTTTATATATAGTGCAGAAACCAATAGGGTGCCATTATAAATTTCAAATTGAACTCTGCATACCTATCATCATAAGGCCATAAAAATATAAAGTATAATTTTCACAGAATTCCTTTTAAAGGAATATGAATCTCTATTTATCACATAGTAATAACCCTGGCTTTGTATCTTGTTATTGGATGTCTAACATGATGAAACAATGTAAAGTCTAATGTTCCCTACCTGTATACCTCCATTATGCAGCAGAGATTTCCAATTTATGGCTAGTATTCTCCTTTTATTTCTTTTACTCAAAAACACTGGGACAAACACTTCACAGTGTCACAAGTGGTAAGCTCCCACAACTCCCCCTTAAGCCAGTGGGAGTTACAATATCCCTGCCACTTTTATTTTGATGCCTTAAATTTTTGGCCTATGTTTCTTCAAATTTGTGATTTAATACAAAGATCACTGTTCCAGCAGAACGGGAAGTGGACCAGAAGCACTTCCAGTCCACTTCCGAGTCCACTGGGGAGCACGCTGGGGGGGGGCCCCCTGTGCCCTCCCTGGCTCAGCAACTGGTGCCTCCTGGGTCTGGGGGGGCACCCAGGGTCCCCCTGCTGCTGATTGCCGAGCTGGGGGTCGCGGGAGACCCCCGTATGCTCCCCGGCAGGCCCGGACGTAGACCAAAAGTACTTCCTGTCCACTTCTGGGTTCGCCCCCCCACGGTCCTGTGGGATGCTCCATCCACCCCAGCATCACAGTGTTCACGAGCTACACCTAGTACCTCGAGGTATGTAAAAATACATTTAAAGCTGTGTCTATGGCCAAATTGCTGATTCTTTGAATCAGCATCGACTCTTCAAATTCGGATTCAGCCGAATTGAATTCGGGACAGTGATCCAAATCAACAAAACTGATTCGGGCAGAATCTGAATCCAAATTGAATAGGGCCCATTTCACACACCCCTACTAAGTCCCCTAACCCTTATTCAAACATAGTTCCCATGGACTTCAGTAATTTTACCTGAATTAGATCTTTGCTTATGACAGGTCTGGGGACTGCAGATTCCAAGACTTCATCCCACATCAGCAAAAGAAAGTTTTAAAACAGGAGATTACTGACCTGTTTGAATAATGCTTTTAATTAACAAATGAAAAATTAATGAGAAACGAATTGCAGGCACAAATTAAAGATAGTTTAAAAACTGAAAGTGGTATACTTAAATAGAACACAAGAAAATGAAGAATATTAATTACATTTCTTTAATTACATTTTTTAGAATCTAATCCCAGTCCAACTAAAGTTAGTAAGAATTTTACTATTGATTTTCGTGGTAGCAGAATGAAAGCCTTTAGATTGCATACAAAAGTACTTCTTTATCTAAATTGTCATTCAAATGTATAACTATCCATGCATCTGTCTGTCAAGGAAGACAGAGTGAGATGTATATCCTACTTTTTCATCTGTAGAAAATATAAAAACTTTCTTTTTTTAGGCCCAAATTGACTTATGTGAAGAGGTTTACAATTAGCCTGTCAGTGTTTATCATTTTAGTTATTTGACAGTGAACAAACAGGCAGAATCAGAAGAATATTTATTCCACTACATGCCAGGACACATTTATTCCTTTGCTGAGATTTACTTGTGAAGGTTCCCTGGAAACTAAGGTTATAGTTCAAGAAGTTGCTTAAGCCCAGCCTTATGGACATGAGTAGTCCCACTAAAATCAGTGGAATTAATCATGTCTAAACACGTACTACAGAATTTTGCTGAACTGGGGCATTATGGGAGAGGACACCTTAAAGGGCATATACTTTTAGCTATAAAGAAGTTACTATGTTTTTAAAAGTCAATGTGACCTCATCTCTTTTCATGACAATCCGGCACCTCCAAAGCAATGACCTCAGTAGTTATAAGGGTCTCACTGGGTATAACTTTGCAGTTCAGAAGAAAATCTCCTTGGTTTAGATCATTTTAAAAGAAGTCAGCTGCCCGTATTGTGATTAGATAGAGCTGACTGGTGGCTTTATGACTTCAGAAAAGTGTATGTCAATTAATCTGGAAAATGTTTCTTCCATAGAATCATGAAATTTCATGTTGCAAAGAGAAAATTTAAAGAGACATTACGTCCATATGATGTAAAAGATGTCATTGAACAGTATTCAGCTGGTCACCTGGATATGTTGTGCAGAATTAAAAGTCTTCAGTCACGGTAAGAAAGGAACAAACCTTTATCCTTTCTATATAAAAATCTTATCTTGTCATGTATACAATCTTATCTTGTACATTTTTACATATCAAAGTTCTTTTTGGCTAAAATTTTTGCACGTGTTGCAGCCTGCCTACCTTTTTTTAGGATGCAATCAGGCCAGCAATTGAACAGTGTATGGAAAAAATGTGAGCTTAAATTGTGCCCAAAAAATGAAAATCTGAATTTTTTTAAATATACCTTTGTTGTCTTCATAGTGCACTCAGAAACTGATGGGCTGTTCATTCAGATGCTTCAAGAATAATTAAGTCACTACTGAAAATTGTCTGTCTGCTTTCCCATCTCAGACATTCTTATCAAACTGAACAGCACTTAGCTCCACACAAGACCAAATCCAATATTTTTATATTCTTGACTCCAGGCAACAATCACTGGGTTAACACATGGTGCATATGAGCACATGCAGAACTAGGATGAGGGACATCAGAACTGGGCTCTCTTCTTAGTTACTCAACTTTCCAGCTCCCTCCACTGAATGTGAAGATCAGGTTCTTTGCTGAGTGACCATGCAGAATGAAAAGCAGCCTCCAAGTCTGTGACTGTCAACTGAGGTGCTGTGGCAGGGCAGACCCTGAGAGCTGCCCTGAAGTCCCCTGTGGGCCATCCTAGCCCTACCCCTACTCCAGGTCCTCCGTATAACCCACCTTTCTATCTCACCTGCCATGCCTTGATGTTCCTTTTATATTGATTGGGAGACTGCCCCTGAGTCCTGGAATGATCTCTTTGGTGCCTAGTAGATTCACTCAGTTTCTGGGCCCACTGTCCACTAACAGGACTTTGCCTGTTCTCTGCAGACACCCACACTCGAGTGCCCCTCACTTCTGACCCGCAGCCCCTGCCTGCCCCATACTAGCTCCCTCTTGGCCACAGCTCTGTCACAACACCTGGATGTGAGCCCAGCTGCAGCTATACCACTTGCTGCTTTTTGGCTCTGAGCAATGCCAGCCCTTGCTGTTCTGCTCCCTGCGCCTGTGCGCAGGCCCCAGCAATCCCCACATTATTCCTGGGAAGCCTTTAACTGGGGCTCAGGGATTAGGCTGGGCAACACCTTCCCTCCCAGGCCGGCTTCCCCCTGCACAAGCTGCTTTAGGCAGGCAGAGGGTCTCTAAGCCCAGTTTTGGGGGCCTCTCCTACCTGGAGTGCTCCCCCATCTCTAACCCCCATCTCTCTCTCTCTCACACACACACCCCTGCTGCCACCTCCACACCTGCCCCCAGCTCATCACACACCCAAGTGGTTCCTAGGACCAGGAGCCCCCCCAGGCGGGGGTCCATGTCCCAACACCGGTGTGGGCATGGGGCAGGGCTGCAGTATGGCAGTTGCTCCTGCCAGCAGGTCCCGTCCCATCCCATTTGGTGGCTGGACACACAGGTTGTGATTTGTAGGGGGGATATGGGGTTGGGGGGTAGGAGCATGGGGTTTGTGGGAAGGGGTTTGAGGGGTTTGTCCCATGTGCCATTGGGTCAGGCAGGACCCAGCTGAACCTGAGAGTGCATGTCCCCTACGTGTGGTGCCAATCTGACACCAGGCAACCGGGACCATGCTGTCCTGCCAGGGGGCTCTGCCAGTCAGTACCAAGCTATGAGTGCCCTAATGGCCACTGCTGCTGCTATGGGGGAGCTATGGGCCATGCAGGGAGGCTGTACACTGAGCAGGGGGGCTATGGCCTGAGCAGGGGGGGTGGGCAGGGGACCCACCCCTCCTGAGCAGTCCCCCTCACCCACAGTCCCTCCATGCCCACATACACAATCCGCCACACCCCCACAGTCCTTTCACCTACAGTCTCCCCCATACCTCCAGTCCCTCCCACCCCCACATGGGGGGACTCTGGGTGGAGGGACTGTGGAGGTGTGGGGGATTATGTGTGCGGGGGAAACTGTTCAGAAGGGGTGGGTCCCCTGCCCGCTCTCCCCACCCCCGCTCAGCCCATAGTCCCCCTGCTCTGTGCAGATCTGATCCACTGCTGCAGCTTTGCTAAGGCAGCATGCTGGGGCACTGGGGCATGGGGCAGCCATAGAGACTCTCTGGAGGACTCCACTTTTTTCCGCAGGTTTTTTTTTTTTATACCTGGATTTCCAGGTATCAGATTTAGAGCCCATACTGCAACTATGTAGCACAGGGAACATTTTTCCATTCCCAGCATGCTTCTTGCAGTGTCTGAAACTGCTTTGAGATGCCACAACAGGCACGTGCACGCTCGTCCGGATGCACCCAGGAAGTTCAAATAGAAATCCAGTGTCAAAAATGTTCTGACCTGTTGTGCTCTGTGCTCTTTGCAACAGAAGAATTGTTCTGTTATTTTTATGTAATCAAGAAGCAAGTGAAAACCAAGAGCTGGTATTTTCTGAGGGGTGCCTTGAGTCTAACAAAGGGAATCTAAAAAAAGATTGAGAACCACTGCTTTAACCAGACCTGACTACTGTTGTGGCCACTAGGGAGGAGCAGAAGAGTTGTAGCAACCCCTTTCCATCTCCTCCCACTCTCCCGATTACAGAAAGTATTGGAGAGTCTGTATGCCCCTCTCATTTATAGAGTGGACTGGTATGAGCATATTCATAGATTCATAGATGTTAGGGGCTGGAAGGGACCTCTCGAGATTATCAGGTCAAGCCCACCCCCCAAGGTTGTACTGTAGGTCCATCTTGCCCAATCTCCTGCATCACAAAGTGGCAGAGGGCTGGTGCTGGAAGGGAGAGTGACCAGGGTTTCTCTCTCACTTGCAACATCCAGCATTTAAGGTCTAGGAAGTCCCATCTCAGGGGCTGTATCCCTAAGTCCCATGTTCAGTAGCTACTTATGCCCCTTCCCTTCCTGAGTGTGTCCAATCCCTTGGTGAATCTGGCTACACTCTCAGCTTCCAACACATCTTGGGGAAACGAGTCCAACACTTTAATTACACGTGGTGAGAACTGAAAACCAAGTGTCAGAGGTGAACAGAATCCTAGAGAAGTGGGGCTGGAAGGGACTTCCAGAGGTCAAGTCCTTCCTGCTGCACCTTGTCACTGACTACCTATAGCCAACCAGTCTTCATTGCCATTATTCTGCATTGTGTCAGGGTCCAGCCCTTGGGAATGATTGCTGGGTATGGATTTAATTAAGCATTGCACGGGATATAGTCCCAAGATCATAGTAATAGAAGAGACCTCCTGGGTCACCAAGCCCAGTCCCATGCTTTTGCAGTCAACCACCTCATATAATGCTTGATCAGTTTATTTTAAAAGCAATTAAATTTTTGGCCCCATTACAACATCTGTGACTACATCCATACAATTACTCCTCCTGCCATGCCACATGTGCATGGCAGGAGGTGCAGTTCTGGGATCATGCATTAGATCCTATCATGCCTTATTGCTGGTGCACAGAGAGCCTGATCCTAGGCAAAAAGCAAGCTCCTATGGTTGCCCTCACTTGAGGGTCTCCCAGCCACAGGGGCACCCCACACACCCCTGTGGCTGGGTGATGCAGCTGCCAGGATCTCCCAGTCTCAGGGGTGCACCACAAGCTGGAAGACAACAGCAGCCAGAGCAGGATCCAACCTGAACAGGGTGCGGGTCCCAGGACAAATCAGCCTATGCGGGGCCCCGCCGCCACTCCAATCCCACCCTCCCCGGACCCAAAGAAGCTGCTGCAGCCATTGACAGCAGCTGCACTGGCAGCCGAGGGGGAGGGGGTTAGTGAGTGGCTGGACTCGAAGCAAGTGGCGGTGGCACAGTCACTGTGGCTGCTCCACCCAGCTCTGCGGGGGCCCCCAAAGTGCAAGGCCCGGAGTGGTCGCCCTGATTCGCATCCCCCAGGGATGGCCCTGACAGCAGCTGCAATTTCCCAGTCCTGGGGGCTCCATGCACCCCCAGGGCTGGGAGATAGCAGCCACACCCTGCAGCTGCCATGACCTAACTGGGTCCTAGTAGGAGACACACTATCAGGACTCAGTGTTTGCAGCACCCCTGCATCTGGGAGCCCCATCAGCTGACAGGACCAAATGACAGGGTCCGTTACTGGTGCAAACTAAAGCTCAATAGCAACCAGCTATAAAGTTAGTACACATTTTCGAAGTCTAACTTCATAGTTGGTTGGAGCTTTATATGGCATGATAAGTACTTTGCACACGTTGCTGGTTTCAAGGTAATTGTGCTGTTAATCAGCTGGTTGCGCAATACCTGTAATGTGTAGAAGGAGCCATAGACACAGATGGTGGGGTGAAAATTCACACCTTATTTTGAATTTCCTCCCTCTGGGAGATTATCTACAAGTTGCATGTAGTTCCCACTGTATTTTTATCATCCATTTAACATAAGATCTCTCCTGACAGTGCAAGAGAGCTAGGAAGGTTTTCTAAAACCCAGAAAGCCTCACAGTTTATTCATCCACGCCCTTAGCGCCTTTTATATTAAGTGGATCTCTTTTCTTTGTAACCTGGGCGGTACTCCAAAAGGTACCCCCTCTCCAATTGAAGGGATCAAAGCAGGTGCACAAGCACTGTGGGAGGTATAGGGACTCTCCTCCCCCTATAGAGCAGAGCCAGACCACCACTGGGGACTTAACCATATACCTTTTAATGAGGGAACAATACTGGGAACATAACAGGCATAATCAGGGGGTATAGTGGATACTGCAGTGCCCCAAGGGGGCAGGATTCAACAAAGGTTAGACACTTACAATCACTGACAAAAGACAGGGTTAACAAAATATAAAACACAAACAGCAGAGCAAACAATACTGGTTGGGGAAATATAAAAAGGCACAAAATACAAAGTGTCAAAGGACAAAGAATTATAGGGCCTAGGTACCTGGAAGGGAAGAAAGCACAATGGCTCCTTTCCACTGCAAGAGGAATTTCTCCTTGTTAGCTCACTCACCCCAAGGACTTGAACTTGGATCTATGTAATAGGCAGAAACAATGCCACACAGCCACCAGTACTGGTAATGCTCCAAGCTGCTAGGGGTCTTGACCTTCCTGGAGCCCCGGCCTCACGACGAGCTGCCTGGCCTCTGATTGGAGGAGCTGGAAGCAGAGCTGGGAACCTCTCGGGTCACTGCTCAGATCCTTGCTGAAGCAGGAAACCTCTCCTGCTGGCCACAGCCTCTCGTAGGGGATCCTGGAGCCCAGCAGGAAGCCGCTCCTGCCAGCCACACACCGTGCTGCTGAGGGTCCAACTGCTGCCTGCTGGTCCTGCTCCTTCAGGCTCTTCTGGGGCAATTGCTTCTGCCCCACTGGCTCAGCTCTTGCCAGCTCTTTGAAGCTCCTTCCTCGTCGTCCCTCGCTGGTCTCTCTCCCTGAGTCAGCTGTGCTCTTTTATCCCCCTCCAGGTGACCCAAGGGGCCAATCAGGGGACATGAGGGGTGACTCTCTGGGGCCTGATTAGTGAGGAAAGGGAATCCCAAGTCCTCCAATCATCTTTTGCCCTTTCAAAACCTCTGGGCTAGGTCACTGCCAGCTAGCCTGTCACATCTGATAATTGTTTTATGGTAATTTTACTCTTCCTACCACATGTGGAGGGCTCAGAGAAGTATATTGAAAAGGTCATAGGTCTGTAAATTATAGAACTTAACAGCTCTGGTAATTCTAGAAAATTCTCCCCCAAACACATAAATATAGGGAATTATCTAATATTATAAAAGCCTAAGTCTGCCTGTCTGTTTGTCCATAACGCTTTATTCGTGCTCTGATTGGGTGACAAACAGCCAATCAGAGTGGGAAGAAGCATTTGGACAGGTGGTAGTGTGCCCCCATGATAGTGGGGACACAGGGGACAGAGTGGGGGGTGGGGCAAAGTCAGTGCAGCTGGCGGTAGTAACAAAGTGGATGGAACAGGGGTCGAGGCCAGCAATGTTGGCCTCACCCCCCCTGCCCTGCTCCCTGCAGGTGGCGATGATGGAGCGGAGGAGGGGGCGAGGCCACCAAAGCTGGTCTTCCCCCCTCCCTTGCTCCTTGGAGGTAACAGCGGCTGGGGGGAGTATGGTTGGGACACTGCAGGGGGGCCAGGCCACCAGCACTGGCTTCGGCCTGCCCCTCCCCACTTCAGTCATCACCGCCTGCAGGGCCGACACAGCGGCGGTGGGGGGAGAAGCAGGCCCAACGCAGAGGGGGGAGGAGCGGGCATGCTGTGGTGGTGGCAGTGGCAATGGGGAGAGGGGAGGAGTAGGCCAGAGCCCGACATGGGGGTGAGGGAGAGGAGGACTGAGCCTGAGTGGGCCCTCCCCCCCTTGTACCTAGGCCCACTCCTCCCCCACCCCTGCATCGGCCCCAAGCCTGCTTCTCCCATCCCTCCGTCACCGCCAGGTCAACCTGGGCCCACTGCTCCCCCACCACCCCTGCCATGATGGCCTGGCTTCTCCCCACCCTTGGCCCCAGTCCTCCCCCACACCAGGCCTGAGCCCACTCCTCCTCTCCCTCTACCGCTGCGGCAGGGAGCGGGGAAGCGGGCCTGGACCCCAAGCAGCAGGAGGGAAGGGGGAGCGGGCCCGTGCAGGGGAGGAGCATAGGGCTCCATCCCCGCCCACTCCCCCCCTCTGTCATTCTTCACGGGCAATTGGCTAGTAAAGGAAATATTGCCTCAACCCAAACCCAAACAGGGCTGTATACAGACATTACAGCCAGAATTTCAGAGGGGTTAGATCAGGTTAAGAATGGCCCCCTGAACATAGTAATTAGCTAGATGCTGGGAGCCTGAGCTAAGGTTAAGGTGGAATAGAGGGAGGACCAGGCGGGATGGGGGGACTAGCAGGGGTATTTGGGGGGCTTAGGCAGCTAACAAGGTCTATCTGGAGGCTTGGGGGGGAATTGGGAGAGGTAGCTGGGTCCACAGGAGACCTTGGAAGGTCATGGGTGGGGGCTGGCAGGATCAGAGAGTCTTTCTGATCCCACTAAACCTCCCAGGATCCCCACCACTTACCCCACTGTTGCAGCCCAACTGCCCCCAATCCACAAACTAATCCCAAAGCCAGTTTTACTGGTCACCAATCCCAAGAGCCTGATTTAAGTTAGGTTGCGGGGAGGGGTGGGTAGATTGAAGGCATTAGCAGGGGTGATGGGATTGTGGGGGCTGGCAGCTCAATGGGGAGGTTTTAGAGGATTGAGGGAGTTCTTTCCCCCTGACCAGTGGTTATTTTTAGCCCCCCAAACTCTTCACCCACAGATGAACAACCCTTCCCTGTCAAACCAACTGCCCAAGATCCTGGCCACCCCTACCCCTACCCCTGCTTGCTTCAATTGGCTCTTGGCACCAGTGAATGCTGGTAAAACTAGCATCAGGAACAGCTTGTGGAATTGGAGGGTATGGCAGGTTTGGGCAGGGGGCTGGCTGGTCTGCAAGTGTGGGGGCTGGTGCATTTGGGGATGGGAGGAGGGGTTGGGGCAAGGGGCTGGGGCAGGACTCAAAATAGCCTGGTACGGGGCGGGTAGGAAAAGGGTTTCCCAGCCCAGGGGCTACACTTGGAATGGGTACAGAAGTTCAGTTACATCAATCTTGCCATAGACTGGGTCAGCCACTTTTTAACCAATCTAACTTTCCTGGTACTTTCCCCTGCTGCAGTTTAAGACCATTATTCCATCATAACAAAGTGTAGGATTTTATACTTGTCCTTGTTCTATTTCATTTGATTGATTTTGGACCTTTTTAGACCATTTCTCCAGTTTATCAGGTTATTCAGAATCCTAGCCCTACCCTCTAGAGAGTATCTGCAACTCCCCTTAGTTTGGTGTCATCTGGAGATTTGCTAAGCATGAACTCTATCCCATCCTCCAAATCATTAATGAAGATATTAAATAATACCAGAGCCAGAATAGACCCCTACTCAATACTTCCTTCCACTGAGCCATTTATTGAGCCATGACTATTTATTGAGCACAGTGATCCATCTAATTGTGTATCCACTTTACAGTACTTTCATCTAGTGTGTATTTCCTTAGTTTACTAATGAGATACAAATTTAGGACCTTTGAAACATGAATAGATATATTTGGCCAATGGGACTATTCCTGGTAGCTAGCAGTGCACCCAATAATAAGTGACTACAAGATTGTACCAATAACTTATGATTAAAATATCCATCACAAATGTGCATCTGTTATATCATGTATTAGATATTTAACACATCTAACAAATAACAGTAAGTATGAATTCATTGCTACACAGGTTCATAGTCTATACTCCCTCAGTATTGTAAACATCATTCCATGTACTTTATTCCACTTCATCCTTCTTAAACATTTTTACACTAACTTATATGGCTGTCATTTTGATCATTTCTGGTTTCTCTCTCAGTGTTGACCAAATTCTTGGAAAAGGACAAATCACAACAGATAAGAAAAGTCGAGAAAAGAATACTGTGGAGAATGAGACAACTGATGACCTTAGTATGTTAGGGCGTGTTGTCAAGGTGGAGAAACAGGTAGAGTGACTGTTGTGACTATGATTTTGTTTTATTGTGTAGGATACATTTTTTAATAGTTAATAACAGAAGTTTCAGATTTCAGTGAAAAGTAAAATCAGTTTTTCTGGCATCTGCACCATCTTAGTCCTAAAAATAAAACATCAGCAAATTCTATTACCTTACATTTGCTTTGTATGCAGAAATGTAGAAATGGAAAAAAAACCCTGATGTTACTGGAATCTGCATCTTTTAATAGATAACACATTAGCTTGCTGCTGAACAGTCTGTTAAAATACTGTGTTAGTTCTGAAGACTAACTAGCTATTCTTTAGAGAGAAACAAAGGATCATTTGCTTATATTCAAGGGGTTGTTACATTCCTTTTATTTGCTTAGGTTTAAAGAAATTCTGGAAATACAAATATTTTAAGTAATATTTTGTACTCAACCTTTTTTCCCAACCTGCAGGTACAATCCATAGAGTCAAAACTAGACAGTCTATTAGATATCTATCAACAGGTTCTAAGGAAAGGATCTGCATCAGCGCTCACTTTGGCTTCATTTCAAATGCCAGCTTTTGAATGTGAGCAGACCTCTGATTATCAAAGTCCTGTGGACAGCAAGGATTTATCTAATTCTTCACGAATTAGTGGATGTGTATCCAGATCAGCTAGTGCCAACATGCCGCGTGGCCTACAACTTATACTGACACCAAATGAATTTAGCACTCAGGCTTACTATGCTTTTAGTCCAGCTATGCATAGTCAAGCAACGCAAGTGCCAAATGATGGACCTGCAGCAGTAATAGCTAATAATATATCAAACCAAATAAATCAGGCCAGTAAGCCAACAACTCCAACCACCTTACAAATACCACCTTTTTCATCAGTCAAGCATATCAGCAGGCCTGAACCTATTCATATTATCCCTGTGACCACACAGGAAAATATTTCTGATGTCACCGCTTGCCTTGTTGCATCAAAGGATAATGGACAAGTTGCACAGCCCAGTGTGACAAAGAATCTTTCATGGAGAAAAAGCCTTGATACCGAAGGAGAACCTTTGGGCTCTGTTAAAACAGTGCACATGGATTTAGGAAAATCATTATCTGTGCAAAACCTTATACAGTCAACAGAAGAACTGAATGTACAGATTGCTGGTAGTGACCCCAGTGGTTCAAGAGGTAGCCAAGAAGTATACTCCAAATGGAGAGAGTCTAAATTATTTATAACAGATGAAGAGTTGGAAGTAGAGGCAGAAACAGAGACTACTGAAGCCATCTCTCACCCCTTAGTGGAAACAGCTCTCTCCACTGACTCTCTAAGGACTGGAATATCAAGATCATCTCAAAGCATTTTCAAGCCAGGGGATGGTACAGATTCACTCAGCCTGCCTCATGTCAAACTTAAATAGCAACTTATGGGTTTTCTTCACTGGCTGAGTAATTCCTTTAGTCATACATATCATAGCATGAACTATTTTGGAAGCCTTTTTAATATGATAAACTTGCAAGAATCAGGAAGAATCTGAAAGGCAGTTGTATGAGCCCATATCTTCTAGCTGCATGAAAATGCATGTTTAAATGATGGCTAAAATTCGAATTTATACCTACAGTACATCAACACTTTCATGTAGTACAGTAGGTTTAAATAATGAGTAATCTACAAAGCTAATGCTGCAGGATTTATCAAAAAGCAAAGATCTGAGCATTTAGAAATAGTGCTGTTTCTACAGTGCAGAAGTAAAAAAAACAAAACCATAAGACTTAAAGCACTTTGCTTCTGGATTAAAAATATGTATGTCCTGAATTAGATAATAGTTTATGTTTACAACAAGAATATTATCTACAGCTGCTAGCAAGGTACCAAGGAAACCGGTAATATGGGATTAGAAATGGCTGCTAGTTGCAAGATATACACATTAACTCATCATTAATCAGTTATTTTAATGCTCTGAGACATAGAATGTTAATTTCTGTATATTTTTTGGTGATTTAGTGTTGTGGCAAAAGTAATTTGCGCACCACTTTCAAGTTGTTCTTTATAAGAAGAACATTCTTTTGCTATGAAATGTATAAATTCTAAGGATCAGGGCCAGCCTTAAAGGTGGATAATCTAGGCAATTGTATAAAAAATTCAGGGGCAGCTTTCCTTACTCCAGTCTTACTAATGTGCCAGCCAGTGGATGTGAAGCATTTTGACAATAGTAGTATCTACAGGAGAGGACTAGGTACTGCTGTTATTGAAGCAATACCTCCTTCTGCCCTGAAAGTGGCACAAGTACTCACAATTGCAACCTGATGCTACTTAATAGTACTTCAGAAGTCTGGGAATGACAAGAAAGTGACAACATATGGGGAATTGAAAGCAGGGGGGCCGGAAAGCCGGTAAGGGAGAAGGAAAAGAGCAAGCGAGACAGACAGACAGACTACACTGAAGGTGAGGAGAAAGAGAGAGAGAGAGACAATAAGAAGGGAAAGAAAATATGGATTTAAATGGAGGGAAAGAAAATAAATAATGAAGGGAGGTATAGACAGAGGAAAAAGATTTTTGAATTCCAGTCTGTCAGTCACAGACAGCTAATGCTTCTTCCCAAAAAAACCCATGCCAGGAATTAGGAAATGAGATTGAATTGACTAAATTAGCTAGAGTGGGAGTAAGAGACAAAGAAACATTGGATCCATTTTTATAAATGTTCCAGAAAGGACACTCAGACTCCTCCCCCATACCGTCTCCCACCCAGTTTTTAGATTCAAAACCCACAGCAAATTTGCATTCTCCCTGGACATCTCTTCCTTTCATGTCCTTCCTATATTTTGCTTCTGCTGAGATTCAGCAGCAGTACTAGTGCTTATATGTCCTTACCGGGGCTTTGCCACTGGAACCCTTTGGTAGCCTAAGAACTGCCCCATGAAAAAAGTTTTTTGATTGTTGCCCCCTGCCTCTATTATAAGCTACATGCACAGTGGACTCTTGGGTAGTCTGGCCTGGGCTGAATTCCCTCTAGCAGCAGGAGCTCCAAATGCACAGGGATGCCAGTTCCAGCTCTCTCAGGGCACTGTTTGTTCAAGGCCCAAACAGGCTGAGGATTTATTATATATCAAAAATGTCACTATAGTCTTAACCATGGCTAAATGCTACAGATTGTATTGTGAAGGACTTGAACTGTTTACTATGAATCCATTGTAATTTCTGCCTCCATATTTCCTTTACAGAAATATTCCTGGATGTTACATGATAACCTTATTATGTGAAATACATGCAAACTTTAAAGTGTATATATTGTGTTATTGCTAGGGGTTCTATGGATGATAAGCTGTGTTCTAGGATTTAGGCTGGAACAAAGCTCAGCTGGTAATTACTGAAAGACATCTTGAAGCACAATTAGCTATCACTGATTTGCCATATAATTTATCGCCTTTGACCTTTATTACCTTCTTCAATGTGCTGTCTGATCATATTAAAGCTTGATTGCTAAGATATTTTTGTGAGGATAAATAGTTTTTTCCACATCTCAGTTCATTTAAATATTAATTTAATTGAATGTCTGCAGTTTGTCTGGCCAAATCTGTAAATTTAAAGTATAGTATGGTATCTAAAAACGAAATGGTTTTTAGGATTTTTCTTTTCTTTTATCTAATGTTTTATGGTGCCTTTTTGCCTTTTAAATGAAATCTCACAATGTTCTAGATATAAGGCTGCATTTAGGTCCAGCATAGGGGCAAGAGCTTGGGCACAGGCAACTAATAAATGTGTCAGTAATTAGCTTGACCTCCCTTTTTCATTAAATCATCATAAACTGGGCCCTATCTTGCAACTGCACCTGCAAGAGCAGACCCTGACATCTACTGCCTGAAGATGATGAAATGTCATAGGTGTACAGACTCAGCCTGCAAGTGTAGTTGCAGATTCAGAGCCTCCAGTTTATCAGTTTTTACTGATAATTTTTCTCCCAGAATGTATCTTTGCCTTAAATGCTTGAGTCCTTCTAATTTTAAGTTAATTTATTTAATACAATTTTGTGCGCATAAATGAATTCTATAAATTATATATGAAAATGTAAATGTCTTTACAGAGTACAAATAAATCAGCAAGACCTTATCATTTTACGTTACAGTTGAAAGTCCCTTTTTTCTTTTATTCTCATCATTACATTTTTGAGCAATTTCTAATCGTATAGTAAATTTATGAACATTATTGATAGAAAATTGAGACAATAATGAACAAACTTGTGGAGGTCTGGAGGGACTTCTTTGTTTTGATTTTACATTTCCTCATCAGGAGTTTCCTGTGTCCAAAGTATACCTTTAATTACAACAATAGGAACTACATTGCTTCCGTGGAAATCTATAATTTATTGATTTCCGTGGGGACCAGGTTTGGCCTTAAAAGTCTTATCCTGAGCTACTTACTGGTACAAATTCAAAATTCATTGTAGGTAATAGGAATTTTTCATGAGTAGTCAGTAATGAACAAATTCTGCCTTGATGTACAATCTGTTGGAAGACTGCACGGGACAGAATTTGGCCCTAAGTAAGAGCTTCGGGATTTGGCTTTACACAAAGAACTGTTTTCTGATTAGTATGTTTGTTGTACCTGACTGAAGAGAGAACCGAAGAGAATAGTTTTTGATGATGAATATACATTTAAAAATTTGTATTTGCTCCTGGCTCGTATGATCTATAGTTTTTATTTAAATATGAATATAGTGTTTTAGCCTAGAGTTCAAGATTGCAAAGATCATACACTTTTATTCACAATGCCCACATTTATATAACGTATGTTTTAAAGATAATCCTATTTAAAGTGACAGCTGTCATTACAGTATGGTGATAGGCAATCTACCCATACACCTTCTGTGATAAGTCAAGTCATACTGAATTATTGATGTATTGTAGGACATCTACTATACAATACTATTTATGGGTCTGGACCTGCAGCCTCTACTCAAGCAAAAATCCCATTGACTTCTACAAGAGTTTTGCTTGAGATAGGAATCCAGATTCAAACCTTCATTTTGTTGGGCATCTGTTTAAAGTGAAAATGATAATATTCCAGTTATTTCCTGAGGAAACTAATGCTTAGCTGAATTAACCCATATGTCACATTGACTATATAAAAAGTAACGCACAACGTACTAAGATACAAAGGGATGAAAAGAAGGGACTCTTTTTAAAAAGCACAGAGAAAAGTAGAATAATCAGAAAAGAGAATTTAGCAGAGAAAGAAAATGCAAGAGCAAAGGAATGAAAAAAGTGATTAAATGTCTGGGGCCAAATTCAGTCCTGGTGTGGTTTCACTGACTTCAATGGAGTGAAAGCCCAACTGAGCTAAAGTCAGCCCTTTTCAGAGTAAATCAGGCTCAGCTCCATCCACCTCAGTGGAATTACATCCATCCAGGAGTGAACTTGTCCCACTGGACCAAATTTTTTCCTGGTTCATACCTTGTGTAATCCCATTGGGTTCATTGGCGTTGAATGAGAGATAAATCAGGAAAGAATTTGGCCCAGCTATTTCTGCTTCACATTTTAAGTGTGTTAATTGATTTAATTAAAATGGATTGCAACATCACACAAGTTGTTATCATTGTCTAAAAAGATTCATCTGTTTTTAAAATCTGAATCAAATCCAGCAGTGTCAAAGGAAGTGCATGAGATCTTTCCCATTCATTTATTCAGAATAACATGGGACACTTCCATAGATACCAAGCATTGAAAGTGTTCTGAGACACTTCTATTGGCAATGTCTTATGAGGCAGTATTAAAATATTGGTTTTATAATGGTTATGAAAAGTATAAGGGACACTTCCACTGATGCTGCAATGGCTTTAGCCATTACATTATAATGTTAATTGTAACTTCATGACAAAGTTGAATCCATATTGTTGTTAATAAAAATGGTTTGGTTTAAAAAGTAAGTCAGTTTCCTTAATTTTATTATGAAAGGTAAATACTGGTGATGGTGTGGACATAACTTGGGCAGGGCTGCAGACATACAAACATGTGAAAAATGTCTGGGATTTGCTTAAATATGCTTTTAAGTTCTATACAGCTTTGGATCAAGTGGACCAACATATCACAAAACAAGCTTATATAATCAAATGTCATATGATAGATAAGTGTGATGTTTTAGTACAGAGTTTTCATGGAATACAATTTTTTGAGATTTGAAAGCCACTAATAAAATTACTAAGGAATTCCAAAAAAGAGATTTTTTTAAAAGAGAAAGGCAACTAGTAGAACTGCATTAAAGATGATTCAAGGGCTTGGGTAAGGATTTCTCTTCTGTTTCAAAAAGGAACCGTACTGTGTCCAAAAGGAGCCCACCTGAAGTCATTTTTCAGTCCTGGGCCCTCAGTAAATAAATATATGGACCTTGGCTTTCCCTTGCCGCCAATCAGCAAGAGGCAAAAACCACAGCAGAAACATAGCTTTTGCCTCTTGCCAATCAGAGACGAAGCGCGGGGGCCCCATGGTCAATCAGC